CCCCCACCTCAGTGAGCCACACTTTCTCATAATCCACCAAGTAATAACACACCTCTTATAATCCCCTCTTCTAATTCATCAAAAATCACTACATTTAACAGGAAGGCTTATGATTAATACCATCACTTAAAACCTACTCTAGAGTATCAATCTCCTGTTCTTCCTACCCACCTAAAAATCACTCCCTCCTCAGCTCCACACAATATGACTTCCAGCCCCATCTGATTCTCCTCTTTTAATGTAAAGACCCACCTGACCCCCCTCCCCATATACACCCCCCCCAGAATCTTATGCATCATCTACAGCTGGACAACTATGCTGCCCAAGCAACAGCCATGAGCAGCTGCCACACAAAAATCAAGAGAAACAAAGTACAAAATACAACAAGCCCACTGGACTACACAGACAAAGAAGCCCTTGAACTGCCAGAAAGAGAATACAGGGGAATGATGTTTAGGACCATGCAGGAGATCTGGGAATCAGTTCAAAAAAGAAAGGAAGAAATGGAGATACTAATAACCGCAAACCCAAAGGAAACTCATGAATTAAGTAACGAGCTAGCAGAAATAAAACACGTGGTACAAGATCTGAGTCACTGAATGGAAGAAAAGGAAAATTGAATCAGTAAACTTGAAGACAACCAAGCAGACTTGAGCAAAGGAGAGAAACAATCAAACAAAAAAGCAAAAGAACCTGAAGAAGGCTTGAGGATGATGTGGGATGCCATGAAGAAAAACGGCAGGCTTATTGGTATTCCTGAGCAGGAAGAAACAAGCAAGTCTACAAATAAAACAGTAAAGGAATTTATGGGAGAAAATTTCCCATATGTCATAAAGGAGGAGTAGCTAGTCATCCAGAGAGAACACCAAGTAGATTAACAACCTCCCCTCCCCCAAAAGACAAATAAACAAAACAAAAAATACAGCAAGACGTATAATGGTCAAATTATCCAACTTCATGTCAGTGATATGAGCAGTTATACGCATGGGCTAAAATATATGAGACCCTTGCAAATTGAGATGAAAATAATCATTTTCTCTCTTCTGCATGGCCTGGACATTGGAAAAAAGAAAAAAAGTTATCCAACTTCAAGGAAAAGGAGAATCCTGACAGTAGCTAAAGAAGAAAAACCACATAGAGCTAAGAATCAGCTGAGACCTCGCCGCAGAAACCAAGCAGAAAAGAAGTTAGAGCAAGATATTCAGAACACAGAAAGACAGAAATTTCCATCCAAGAATCCTGTATCCAGCAAAGCTACCTAGCAAATTTGAAGGAGAAATAAATGTATTCTCGATCAAGGAAATACTTCGAGAATTCATAAAAACAAAACCAGCATAATAAAAAATACTATCCAGTTCATTATGGTCAGATCACCAACTGCAGCCTTCAAACATGAGACCACCACAGGGCGCAACACCACCCAGAAACCAACACACTGAAAACAGTTAAAAAAGAAAAAGAAAACAGTATCCAAATAATACAGATCTAGCGAGAAACAAAGACATGAATAAACTTACCACCACCACTAACCCACACCCCCCAAAAAACATGGGAGGAAGGAAAATATCAAGTACAAATAATACAAGATGCTAGCGACTAATCTACACTTAGAATTAATAACACCGACTGTCATAGGACTAAAAACTCCATTCAAAAGACAAAGAGTAACAGGCTGGACGAGGAAACAAGCTCCATCAATCTGCTGCCCTCAAGAGACAAACCTCAAACTCAGAGTCAAAGGATGGCAAAAATTTGACCAAGCTAATGGCAATTAAAATAAACATAAAAACCCCAGGGCTGGCAATATTAATCTCTGACAAAATAGACTTCAAATTACACAACATGAGAGACAAGAATGGGTATTACATAATACTCCGAGGAGTAAATAGACCAAGAATACATAACCATAATAGACATATACGTGTACAACAAAAGATCAACTAAATCCTCAAAGAGATGAAAAGAGAAATCACCAGATCAGCAATAATAACAGGAGACGTCAATACACCACTCTCAAGGAAAGAGAGGTCAATGGGTAAGAAACTTAATAAAGAAACTGAAGAGCTGAACAACATAATAGAACAACTCAAGCTCCTAGATATTTACAGAGCTCTCCAACCAACAGCAAAACAAAACAACTCACATTTTTCTCCAACACACATGGTTTATATTCTAAAATAGACTACATGCTGGGCCATAAAGCTAACCTTAGCAAATTCAAACACACAGAGATCTGTCAAACTATCCTCTCAGATCACAGTGCCATAAAACTGGAAATCAACTATTGAAAGAATTAAAAAACAAAAATAAACACTTGGAGACTCAACAACACACTACTAAAAAAAGACTGGGCATTAGCCCAAAGAAGAGATGAAATTAGGAAGTTCCTAGAAACAAATGAAAATTATAACACAATATACCGAAACCTATGAGTCACAACAAAAGCAGTTACCAGAGGTCAATTTATAGCAATTAATGCACACATGAAAAAAAAGAGGAGAGAATCATGTTCAACACCTTAACACAACACCTCCAACAATTAGAACAGAGTCAACAGCATAAACCCTCCAAGAGCAAGAGAAAACAAATCATTAAAATTAGAGCAGAAATAGATGAAGTGGAAAACAGGAAAACAATGGAAAATCAACAAAGCTATAAGTCAACAAAACGGACAAATCGCTAGCAAACTTAAAAAAAAGGAAATGAAAGAGCAGACAAAATATCTAGAATTAGCGATGAAACAGATGACATCACAACAGATCCAAAAGAAATAAAAAGAATAATGCAATATGACAAGAGACTATTCCAACAAAATAGATGGCACAGACATATATCTAGAAAAACACCCTCTTCCGAAGTTAACACAGATGGACATTAAAAGCTTGAATAAACCCGTAGGAAAGAAAACCAGATAAGGTCATCAGGAAACTCCCAACCACAATAAAAGTCCAGAATCAGATGGGTTCGCAGGAGCATTCTACCAAGTATTCAGAAAAGATCTGACATTAAGTTTACACAAACTCTTCCAGAATATAGAAAGGGCAGCAAACTCCCAAGCTCATTCTAGGAAACCAGCATAACCCTGATACCAAAACCAGGCAAAGACCCCACCAAGATAGCAAACAACAGCCCAATACCCCTCATGAACACAGATGCAAAAATCACAACAAAATCCTGGCTAATAGAATCCAACAACATATCAAAAAAATAATACAATATGATCAAATGGGATTCATCCCAGGGAGGCAAGGATGATTACACGTTTGAAAACAGTTAATGTAATTAACCACATAAACAAGAAAAAGAATAAGAACCATATAATTATATCAAATGATAAAAAAAAGCGCATTTGACAATATCCAACACCCATTCCTAATAAAAGCTCTTAAGAAGATAGGAATAGAAGGGAAAATCCTCAACACAATAAAGGCCATGTATGAAAATCCAATACCAATACCACACTCAATGGAAAAAAGCTGAAAACATTTCCATTGGATAAGGGAACTCAAGGATGTCTCTTATCCCCACTCATATTCAATATTGTGCTGGCAGTCCTAGAAGAACCATAAGACAACAGCAAGAAATCAAGGGAATAATATTGGGCAAAGAAGAAGTGAAACTTTCATTATTTTCAGACAATATGATTTTATGGAGAGAGAATCCCAAGGTGTCCACAATAGAACTGTTGGAAATAATTGAAGAGGTTAGTATAGTAGCAGGATATACGATTAGCAAGCAGAAATCAACTGGATTCCTATATACTAGTGATGAGAATTCTAAAAGAGACATCAAGAAAACAATATCAATCAAAATAGCCATGCAAAAGCTGAAATACCTAGTAATAAACTTAACCAAAGAAATAAAAATCTTGTATAAAGGAATCTACAGAACACTACTATAAGAAACCAAAAGAGATCTACACAAATCGAAGGATATCCCAGTTTGTGGCTAGGAAGACTCAATTTTGTGAAAATGTCAATACTACCTAAACCAACCTATAAATTCAATGCAATCTTGATCCAAATTCCAACATCATTCTTTAAATCAATGGAAAAACTAACTACCGACTTCATATGGTGAAGGAAGAAGCCCAAGATAAGCAAAGAACTCCTCAAAAAGAAGAACAAAGTAGGGGGTCTTACACTATCTGACCTCAAACCTACTACACGGCCACAGTTGTCAAAACAGCCTGGTAGTGGTATAATGAGAGATACATAGACCAATGAATCAGCACAGAACACCCAGAAATAAAAACATCTGCATACAGACAACTGATTATCAACAAAGGCCTACTAAGCAGTAAATAGGAAATGGATACCCTCTTCAATAAACAGTACTGGAGAAAACCTGAATATCCACTTGCAGAAGAATGAAACAAGACCCACATCTCATCTCATGCACAAAACCAAACTCAAGGTGGATCAAAGACCTAACTGTAAAATCTGAAGCTATTAGGATCATCAATGAGAAAATTAGGACAAAGTGCTCTGGTAGGAGGCCTACACAGGTTACCAGAAATAAAAAAGGAAGCACACACTGTCAAAGATGAAATAGACGAATGGGACCTATGGAAAATAAAACACTTTGTGTCCATCAAAAGATTTTATTAAAAGAATAAAATGAGAGCCCACAGACTGAGAAAAGATATTCAGCAATCAGAGATCCTATACATGAAAAAAAATCACTGCCATAGAGTTGATTCTGACTCAGCAATGGTTAGAACTGACCCTGTGGGTTACCGAGACTAACTCTTTACAGGAGTAGAAAGTCTCCTGCAGAGTGGCTAGTGGTTTTGAACTGTCCAGCATGTAACCCACTATGCCATCTGGACTCCTGCAAGGATCCTATGTAACATGAATACATTACTGAAAATATCCAAGATTTGGGCTATTTTCCTTATTTTATATTTTATGTACTCTATGGATTGTGCTCATTTATTGTCCTACAAACCAACCAACTAATCAATACAATGTATGCAAGGAAAAGTTAAAAATACTTACTTATACATTTTTCAATACTAGTCACCATATTTTGAATTTTTATTGAAAATTCCAATCTGTTGGGAACTATACAGATATTTGTAGGGAATTCTGCAGTTCTGAGAGAAAAAATAAAAGTATAATTCCAGATAACAGTAGTAATTAACATAAAGTACAACTACTTATAATTTCATAAATGTCTAATACTTACGCTTCACACATGCATTTATTCTCAGGCTCATTTGCAATTTCCATTTCTATGAGAAACCATTGAAAGAAAGAGAAAATGAAAACAGATTGACATTTATATTAGCACAATGATAAATGTATATATGCCAGTCCTTTTCAAATACCATAAGAATAAACTGGCAAGGTCATTCGAACGGCAGTATTCCAGCAGTAACATCACCCCCTTCCCTGTGATTTTGATGAAGGAGGTTTGAGATGGCATCTGAGAGTTTTCATCTCCAACAAGTAACACAAGTACTATTCATCCTGATGAAGAGATCCTCAGGCCCTCTCAACGAGAATTCGTATTTGGATAGAAATGAAAGCAAATAATGGTGTTGTTGCTTACATGCACAGTAAATGACTCATTGTTGATCTTTTAAAAAATTTAAAATCAGATACCTATAAATCGATAATACACTATTCAAAGTTTCTTTCACTTGTTATTTTCTGATTGGCAAGGTATTTCTATCTATTCTTAATAGTTCTATTCATCTTACCTAAAAGGCGTCCTTCAAGGTTGTAACTGAATTTTTTTGATCTCTCGACTTTTATAGCTTCTTCTTCACTATCATCTGATAAATCATCTCCAAAATATATCACTGATTTCCTAGAAGACTTGTCAGCTTCAAAATTGTTTTCCTCAGAATCTTCTGGTGAACAACTCTGAGTAGGAGTTCTCAAATGTATATCGACTTCAAATATTGGTGCATATATTGTTTTCAATTCTCTCTCCAACTGAATATTATTCAAAATCTAGTTTAACAGATACATTACGGTATCAGTGACATTGTAAAAGTAACAAAACATTTTTTATTTGTTATAATATAGACCTTAATTTTAAACGAGATGTCATAACTCCAGTATAATTAAATAACTCTGTGTTACCAGCCACCTGAATCTGCTGCACAAAATCTCTTTAGTGTGCTGCAAAGCAAGGATGAAAATTCGAGGACTAAGTTATGCATGACCCAAACCATGGTATTTTCAATGGTCTCACATATGCATGTGAAAGTTGGACATTGAATAAAGAAGATTGAAGAAGAATTAATGCATTTGAACTATGGTGCTGGTGAAGAATATTGAGTGTATAATATACTGGCAAAAGGATAAAGAAATCTGTCTTGGAAGGAGTACAGCCAGAATGCTCCTTAAAGGCAAGACTGGGGAGGCTTCAGCTCATGTACTTTAGACACCCATCTCTGAAGAAGGACATCGTGCTTTGTAAAGCAGCAGGGCAGCAAAGAGGAGGAAGACTTACAACAAGCTGGATGGACACAATGACTGCAACAATTAGCTTACATCGGACAACCATTGTGGGGATGGCATAGGGCCAGGTCATGTTTTATTCAATCCAACAGTGAGTGAAAGAGGAGATGGACTAGGTCATTAAAAACTCCCAACAAAAAAATTCTTCTCCAGACAGCTTCATTGGTGAATTTTACCTTTCAGAGAAGAGCTGACAGCAAGTTTACTAAAATTACTCTAGATTATAGAAAAAGCAGCAAGTTTACTAAAACTACTCTAGATTATAGAAAAAGATGGAAGACTCCTGAATTTATTTTATGAAGTAGACATAACCGTGACATCAAAATCAAGCAAAGACATTATTAAAAAAGAAAAATATAGCCAATATCCCTTATGAACATAGACACTATAATTTTCAAGAGCCTAGCCAATACAATCTCTCCATCTCTATATATCATAGCCAAGTGGAATTTATTCCATCTATGCAAGGAGTATTCAACATTAGAAAAACAATGAACATAGTTCTCCAAATAAATAAAGGACAAGAAACACATGATCATATCAATGAATGTAGAAAAGCACTGTACAAAATCTAACACCTAGTCTTGATGAAATTGCTCAACAAACAGAATACATACAAAACCCTTGTCCAACATCCACGGGAGGACAGGAAGCACCTCTCTCGAGAACAGGATGCTTTTCATCTCCACTTGTACTCAGTACTGTGCTGGAATTCTTAGCGTTGGTGTTACAGTGGGTTAGGCTTTGGGTTGGTAACTACAGTTCAAACCAACCAACCATTCTCCAGGAGAAAGAGGAGGGCATTGACTCCCGTAAAGACCCACAGCCTCAGAAACGCAAAGTGGCAGTTCCATTCTGTCCTACAAGGTCACTATAAATTAGAATGGATTAGATGAGAGTGGATTTTTGGATTCAACGTGCTGGAACTCACAGAGCAATAAGGCAAAAAAAGAAATAAGTGGCATCCAAACTGACAAAGTAAAATTATGTCTGTTTGCAAATGATATGACCCTATCCATAGTAAATTCCAAATACTGAGCAAGAAAATTACTGGAATTTATTGAAAGATTCTGAAAAGTGGCAGAGTACAAGATTAGCACACAAAAATTAGTTGGATTTATTTATACTAACCAAGAGAACTTTGAAAAGTCAACCAGGGAAACAATATTAGTTATAGAAGCTATCCCAGAGATGAAGAAACCTAACCTAATGCCATCAAATGATGAAGGACATAGAATGTGCTAGAGAAGCCAAATGCTGGTACAAGTAAATGATAAAGCAGTACAAGAAATCAAGATATATGTGCATAAATGGAATATTTCCTGACCTAGAAGTCTAGTACACATTCACTGTAATCCACACAGCCTACTGCTGGTATAATGGCAGTCACATAGATAATGGAACAGAATAGAAAATCCATGTATCTATGGATAGCTGACCTTTGATGAAGAGCCAGAATTCATTAAGTTGAAAAGAGACAGTCTCGCTGATAAATGATGCTTGAAGAATAGGATATTTATTTGTAGAATGAAACACGACTGATATTTCTTTAATTAAAATTTTTTAACAGGACCCATATTTCACATCATATTAAAAAGTGAACTCAATTTGGGTCAAAGACTGGATGTAAAATCCAGTACTAGAAATACCATCAACGGAAACTAGGGACAAACACAAGGCCTAGATGTGCCATGCCATTTACCTGATGCCACACAAGCAGCAGAAAACAAACTAGCTGAGTGGGACCTCCTGAAAACTGGATACTCGTGTACCTCAAAGATTTCCCCCCAAAAGCAAAAAGAGAATACACGCTGGGGAAAAATTCGGTCATGATATATGACAAATGTCTAACATTGATAGAACATTTCAGTACCTCAATAAGAGAAGACAAATAATCCAAGTTAAAAACCGGCATGTCACATGAATAGCGATTTCACCAAAGAAGACATTCAGGTGGCAACCAACAGAAGACAAATGCTCACAATTATTAGCCTGTTAAGACCTGCAAATCCAAACAACAAATCCAAATGCAGCAACGATAGCAAAGTGTTTACAAAAGTAAAAAACAACAAATGTTGGCAGGTTTGTGGAAAGACCAGAACCCCAGTACACTGTTTGGGGCTTGTAAAACTGCATCACCACTGTGGAAAATGATGTTGCATTTAAATAGTTGGAAACAGAAAAATCACATGATCCAGTAATCACACTAATAAATAACAACAGTGACACAAATTGATATATGAACACCCATGTTCATCACAGTATTATTCACAAAGCAAAAAGATGGAAACAATCTAAATGCTCATCAATGAAAGAAATGGAAACAAACTGTGGAACGTGCATATAATGGAATACAACAAAAGAATAACTCATGGAGAATCTGAAAAATAGCTCACATGAATGAACCTGGAGAGCATAATGTTGAGTGAAATTAGTCAGTCAGAAAAGGAAGAATATTGTTAAAAAGTCAAGAAAATGTTTTCACACAAAAGATAAGTTCTTGGATGTTTCCTAGGGGCGGGAGGGCAAGGGAGGACTAATAACGAACACGAGGGTAGATACATATTGACTTGGGTGAAGGGGAAAGAAATAGACAAAGGAGATCATCAAAAATAAGGCGTTCAGCAAAAATTGATGGCTGCAAGGGAAGACACTGGAAGGAGTGCAAAGGCTAAAGAGAATCAAGGTAAATGTCGCGAATGGCACAATTCTGCAATAATGGTGATCAATGAGGGGATGCAAGAATAGACATGAAGTCTGAACAGGAAGGGAAGGAGAGTAGGACTATACATGTGTGTGTGTTTGACATATGTATTGACCTATGATGAAATACATAGCTAAGCTGTAATATCATGGAGTTATGAAAATGTCTTGAATGCAACCAAGTATCTTAAAGGAATGAGTCACTTGTCCTGGGGCTCATGACCGTAGACAAAGGTTTATTGGCATAAAATAGAACAAAGAGAATGTTCTCCATCCTACTTAGGTGATTCACAGCGTAGAAGCTAAGGGGTGGCTATCTATGGTGCAGCTAGTGGTCTCGAGGAGGAAAGTGAGTGCACATAGAATCAATCAGTCCAATGGACCAGGTGAGCATCCGACTCTAGAACTCCGAAACCCGAATGAGATGGTGTGTGGCTACCACTGTCAACTGCTCTAAAGGCGTACACTAGAAAGTCCTGGATATAGTGGGAGAAAATGTGGGACAAAACTCAAATGTCATGAAAAAGACCAGGCTTACTGGTTAGAGGCTGGTGGGACCCTCTAGATAGGCCTAATCGATTTTAAAGTCTGTAACTAAATTCACTCCCATGGATCAATTTTCAATCACAGAACATGCATGTCCACGCGGGAAACAATAGCATTAGGGAGATATATGCTCCTTACCCAGCAACTTGGGGTAAAAAGGCAGCATTTACCCGAGGACCAAGTTCAGAAATATTCGGAAAGGAGGAGGAGTGGAAATGGGAAACCAGAGAAGTTGGATCACTGGTGTGACATTGTGGGTTTGCAACAAATTATATGAAACAAAATGTATATGAATTGTTGAAAGGAAAAATGATTTCCTCTGTAAACCTTGACCAATTCACAATAAAAATGTTTTAAAAATTCCCAGTAAATAGGTAAAACAGAAAAGAAACACGAGTTACTGATACATGGAAAATTGCTCACTGAAACTAGCAATTGTGGAAATCCAAATGAAAACGACAGTGATATGCCATTTCCTATCCATGTGATTCGTCAAATACATGAGATTGCTGAGAGAGTGAAACAATGAAAACCATTTCCAAGTGTTTTTGAAGGTACTTTCACATCCTCAGTAGAACTGAAACTATGCACTCAGAAATTTCATTCCAAGCAATATTCCTATGATAAATCCTTGCTCATATGTACCAAAAAACCCAAACAGACACAAACCAAAATAACTGCCATCGAGTCAATTCTGATTCATAGGTATGCTATAAAGCCAGGACAGAACTGCCCCTGAGGGTTTTAGAAACTGTAACTCTTTATGGACGAAGAAAAAAGCCTCCTCTTTCTCTTACATGGGACTGGTAGTTTTGAACTGCAGATTTTGCAGTTAACAGTCCAGTGTGCAACCACTACACCACCTGGCCTCCTCATACATACCAAGAAGATATATATATATATATATATAATGTTTTTTGATGGTAGAATTGTAATAACAAAAACAAAAAAATAACCGATCAAGAGTAGAGCAGGGCACCTTCCCGACACAACCGCTGAAGACAAAGCGGGTGAATAAGCAAATGTGGTGAAGAAAGCAGATGGTGCCCAGCTATCAAAAGATATAG